ATTGCTCAATATTTTTTGGAGTTTTCACCTTCTGACTCAAAAAAGCTATTGGAAAGTCTTACTTTTAAAATCATGTACCAATCCATTAACGAGAAGTTTCCTCATGATGGACAATCTTGTAACTGCTACCAATTAGACTAACGAATATGTTTATTTGGAAGTAGGTATAATAGTTATTTATGTACCAGGGCAGTAAAGTAATACTTTATCGAACGAGTCTGAGAGAGTCGAGCGAGCTAGGCGAGTGAAAGGGCGAGTCCGATAAAGACACTTTACTGAAATGGTACATACAAAAATTTATTGCCAACCGTAAAAATTAAAAAATTAAGATATTATAACTCAGCATATTTTATTATAAGAGCAAACACAGAACAACTACTTATTGTTTGTTATATTGAACGTTAATGAACCCTATCGTATCATAACAATTAATTCTTGAAGTTGAAAGAGTTTCAATTGATAATGTTTAAGGATTATTATCTATGTTATCAATGCGTCCTTTTTTATTAGAATTATCATTGGTAACAACTATGGTGTCAATTTGACTGTTGCCTATAAAACCGTCTTCGCGATTTTTGTTTCATTTGTAGTTATTTACATAACAAGTGCGTTTATTAACATGATTACAATAACGAGTGTGATAGGTTAGAACGACGAGGTCGTAGACCGAGTCATCCTAATCTTCACACGAATTTTGTAGTTTTTTTTAAACTCACGTGTGATGTATAATGTTTTATCTACAAAGCGAAAAATAACAAAATGTGTTTTTTTTCGTTTATTAGTAGTTGTTTACCTTCATCTCATCTTTACAGGTTTAACTATGACATTTATCAAATCACAAAAACTAGTTGTGTTATAGATTCATAACCTACTCCATAACACCACTAGTTGTGTTATGAGTCTCATGACACAACTCAAATACTAGAAAAATGGTTATGTAAAAACTTCATAACCAAACGCTTGTAGATAATAGTATATTATGCAATATGAGCATGTTGTAGGATACGAAACAAGCCGCAGGCGAGTTTCGTATATTAGGTTATGAATCTATAACACAATTATTTTTGGTAATTTGACAAATGTCAAAGTTAAACTCCCCGTGAAGGTAAAATGAAGGTAGACAACTACTATAAATCGGAAACAATTGGAAAGACATTCTATTATTTGTCGCTTTGAAGATAAAATGTTGTACATCACACGTGCGTTTAAATATGACTACAAAACTCGTGTGATTAGTGCGACTCGGTATACGACCTCGTCATTCTCATTTTTCACATTCGTTATTGTAACTATGTTCATAAACGCACTTGTAATGTAAATAACTGTTATTTTACATTGAAATAAAGTGTTTCTTTACTTCGGAAATCTATAGGGTTATGTATAACTCTACTGACGGTTGGCGATTTAAAATATTATGTAGCTCCAACTCACTTGCTATTGTCACTCAACAAATTTATTATCTCAGCAAAAACCTTTTGGAGAGGAAAAGTCCTCTAGCCAAGTCGAGGTTCAAGAAACTCAGACTGAACCCAACAAAAATATATTGTCGTTCTTGGATAGCGTCACCAAAGTAAGACTTTGGTGACGCTCCAGCGATATTGTAGAGTAGAAATCAAGCGAGAAGAAGCCACACGCGTTATCGTTTGTCTCACTTTAAATGGAAGGGACCCAGAGAAAAGAAAATCTGCTTTCTTTGTCAGCGCTGATGACAGTGGCTTCTTCTCGTTTGATTTTTACTCTATCTATTACCAATTTGGGTCTTCGTGCATTGGCTTGTTTTCAACAGCCCCAATAAAGATTTTTATTGTTCCTAGCCAATTAGTTCATTCTTGTGATGCTCTCGCATAGTATCGGTTCCTGAAAACATGTTCATTCTTTTTTAACTACATTTTTTCGAATAAATTCCACTGAAAACCTTTAGAGATTTGTGCATTATTATCCAAGAAAAAAATTACCTACATGGATTATCAAATCAATAATTGGATAATAATAATGACAGGTAAAAGCAATACCTATATCCTTGAATATATCTGAAGTGCGCATTGGTTGTTTAAAAGTAGTGTACACATTTTATCTCTCACTCCAAAAAGTTGAAGTTATCCCGTTTAATCAAGAGGGAAAATAGCCAAAAGTTACCTGCTTTAAAAGAGTAAGTCACCAGTAACGTATTGTGCCTTTATTCCCTGCACCAAACATTATCTTTGGCTAAATCTTTCGTAAACAAAAACGTACTAAAATATGGCTATATGCCAGTGCTGCAAAAATTCATTCACCAAAAATCAATCAACTCGGACATGTTCGATGTGCGCAGCTACGGTTCATGAAACATGTGGTCAACTCGCTGATGCCGGGGCGGGATCGCCTGCACAATTCAAATGTCTGAAATGCACTTCGAGCACGAATGCGCCAAAACCATTAACTACGGAGCATTTCCAAGCAATAATGGCCGAATTTTCCTCTCTAAAAATAACCGTAAATGCCTGCGAAGGCAAAATTACTGCTTGCGACGCTAAAATCGAAACGTTAAACCAGCATATTGCATCCCAGGCTGTATCCATTGCCAATTGTGAGACCGAAATTACCAATTTGAAAACTGAGACTTGTTCTCTTCGCAAGGAATTCGATAACTTACAATCAAAGGCGCAGAACTTTGAAGACTTCTTTGAAGAATCTCGAGATCGTACGCGTCGAGAATGCAATGTCATAGTCTCAGGCCTTAGACAAGTGGTAGATGATAAAGCCGAAGTCCAAAAGATTCTAACCGAAATTGGCCTACAGAATATATCTCCAAAACTGACGTTCCGTTTTGGTAAAGCAAACACTGGTCCCAAACCACTTAAGGTCATATTTTCATCGAGTTCTGATGCCATGGAAGTTTTGAAAGCCAAGTCTCGCCTAACGTCTCCTCAATACAAGTCTGTCACCATGAAATCGGACTTGACCCCACGTCAGGTTCAACATCTGAGTACGCTTCGAAAGGAACTGCAAAAACGTACAGATGAAGGTGAGGATAACCTGACAATCAAATATATACGAGGAGTACCTCGTATTGTGTCATTACGCAGCGATGGAAAGAGAGAACGTGAAGAGAGCGCATCCCCTGGAATCCACAAAAAACATACAGGACCAAACGGCTCTAACGCATTGTAGCAACCATTGAACATTGTTTTTTGGAACATCAAGGGGTTTAATCGCATTCATCACTTTGCAGAGGCCATTCACAACTACGACATAATCTGTTTCTCTGAAACATGGGAGAAGGACGACATTATTCTTCCCGACTATTTATCGCAATACAACGTCCTCTCATCTCATGCTTTGAGAGAAGCATCTCGCTTGCTTCCACCATAATGTCATTCCTCAGGCTTCGATCCTTTTTGATATCGCAGGATTAGAATTTGTTAGAAATATCAACTTTCTCTCTTTTTTTTGTTGTATAGACCCCTTCCATAGGTACTTTTATTAGGCACCAAAATGTGAACCCTTCTGGTTTTTAGTTTATACATAGAAATACAAGTAACTTTATCTTTCGCTTTGTAATTAGATTAAGATTATTTAGATTATTATTATTTTTTTGTTCGTTTCTAATAACAAATACGTATCCAAATTCAAAACAAATTATATTCCCTCCTTTATAGGTTTATTTTTGCTTTTGTAATTCAAACCACTGCGTTTACTAGATTTAGAGCACTCATTGTTATGGAAAATACTTTCTGGAAACAATAAAAATTGAATTGAATTGAATTGAATTGAATATATCTAACAAAAAGAGAATATTTACCAAATTTTGTTGTACCTACAAGTTAGACAAAATGAAACGACGTTATTGACATACAATTCACCAAAATTCAAGGATTTATTTCTGAAACGGCTTTGTAACTGTGTGTTTATTACAAAGAATTCAAATCATTGATGTTTTCTCAAGACAAACTAAAAGTAACAAGCAAACATTCAACCAGTACAAAGAAATTGTTGCTGGTTTTTGTTATTCAAATTTGCAGTTATAAACCGGCCAGTGTGAGTATATGTCATTTTGTAATACGCAGCGGCTCAACTATAGTAAAGTGGAATAATGCTCTTAGTTTACGTTCGTAAAGTAGGATTTTGTTATAATCATAATGAGCTTGTACACTGTAGAAGATTTTTCCTTGCTTGCAATGGTGTTCGATAAAGACGTTCTTAGACTAAAATGTTTCTTGAAGCAAACAAAGTTATCAGTTTTTCGACCCCTTAAGTCTTCTTTTTTAATAAACATAACTGTTCACAACACACGCAAATTATGTAATAACCGTCTACTAATACTTCCGTTTTTTCCTTTCAGGTTGGTTGAGCAGCCAGACTAACGGTCAAGGTAACTAAACAAAAGCCCAGACTACAAAATATACACAATGTACAAGTTGACAGGTGGTATTTTTCTAGCCAGTATTATTTTTGCGCACATTAATTATTAATGTATTGTACAGAATTGTGTTAATTGGCCGATATATTATGCGACGTCCATTATAGATAATTAGCAGACTGTATCGGGGCAAAAAATCAACAAATCTTGTCTGACCGGACTTGCTGCTATAATAAGCGGATATTATAATTATTATTGTGTTTCATACTTTTGATGATCATTCAGATGTGAGTATATTAATTGATACTGAATAGAAAAACTACATTTAGAATTAAAAGATCATTGCGGCAAAAATTAGTTATAAAAGGTGCAATTTTCCTGCAAAGAACATTGAGTAGCCGTAAAATTTGCCCCTTTATACCGAAAATTGAAATATAATACCGATACTTTGTAATCATTATCGATTTTACATACTGAATAAGGCAATTAATTATTCGCATTCAATGGACCATAACTTACGTGATGGCTTTGCATTTTTTTTTTATTATTTTTTCCACACTTTAATTATTTTACTTTCTCCTCTGCGTCGACCTTAATCTGAGCCCTGCAAAAAAAAAACTTTAAAACTGAATTACAGGAAGAATAAATTAATAAAAGGTGAATGAAAGCGACAATAAGAATTATGCAAAGATATAAAATTGAGGTAAATTATGTATGTATGTCGTCGTAGATAATTAATTTTATCGGAAACCGAATATAGAAAACTTTGGAAAAAAAGCTGGATTATCCGACCTGAATTTTGAATGCTAAAATATAAGCTAAGGTTGTAAGAATTCAGGGGCGGATGGGCCCACCGGGATACCGGGTGATTTCTCGGTGCGCCGGTCCTTCAGGCGCCGATTGGTGCCGCCGCAGGAAGTTCGAAAATGAAACAAAAAAGCTAGATAGCTAATTTATTGATTGATTTGGCAGTTGGAAACTTTGCAACTATGGAACTTGTAAATCATAAGTATGCATGCCGTAAGCGCCCAAACCATTCCTTATGTTTCATGGCAAGTTGCATTGCTTGCTATGTTCCGTTTTGAGGTATGTTCACGTTCGTCTGCCTGTTTTTATTATTCCAGATTGCATGCATAATGGAGTAGAAAAAAACGGCTGGACAAGAGTCTCGTCTACGTACCTACTCGAGCAGCGCGGCGCAGATTTTCGGCGAATAGAGTAGTTTTGTCGTCTTGTCTTTATCCATAAATCATAAGTATGAATGCCGTAGGCGCCCATTCCTAATGTTTCATGGTACATTGCATGGCTTGCTATGTTCCGTTTTGAGGCAGGAGCGGATGGGGTCCATCAGACCGGCGCGGGAAGTCATTTAAAACGGCGCCGCGCCTGTACAGTAAAAGAAATTGGAAAACACAAGCGATCGACTTCTGCGCATAACCTTCTCCTGAGTTGAATAAAGACAAGACGACGATATTACTCTATTCGCCGGTAATCGGAGCCGCGCTGCTCAAAGGTCTGTTCTCACAGAAATCACAAATCAGTCACAGCGTTTTTGATTGGTACCAATTGCCAACAACCAGTTTTGTCACTATTTTCAACCAAATTCGCTCTGACTGGTTTGTGATTTCTGTGAGAACATCCCAAGTGTACGGAGACGAGACTCTCTTGTTATCCGTCTTTTACTACTCCATTATGTATGCAATCAATCTGGAATAGTAAACAGAGGCAGACGAACGCGAAGATATAGTACAGTCAATCGGTACTTTTGCTGCGATTTTTTGGCAAAACGCTTTTTTTTAAAATGGTAATGACCATGGGTGCATTAGAAATCTGAGTTTTCGGGAAAATCGCCTTTGTGCTAACTTCACCCCATCGATTGAAAGGGTTAAAAAATAGCTATTTATACAATAAGTTACGAAATGAGCGTCTTTTAGGCACGCGACGTGAAAATTGTCCAACGAGGCAAAGCCGAGTTGGACAACACGTCGAGTGACTAAAAGACATCGTTTCGTAACGTATTGTATACAAGATTTTTTCTACTGGCATTTTATAATAAAAAAACACAATTTTATTTCATGTGAATAAGTCGATTACACCCAAAATCTTTGTTACCTGCTTTTACTTGACACCTGACACTTTTCATGCGATTTTCTTTTCAAAATTCGACATCAATAATTAAAATCCTAGAAAGTAGGTAATAACACAAACTTCTGTTTTGAGTAACCCAAACGTTCAATTCAGTAATTCCATTTTCAATATTCATAATAAATGCAAAACAAAATTCAAATCTGTGTTCAGTGTGTTTTTTATTTCTGAATAATGGATGACACTTTTAGGCACTAGTGCTTAAAAATTACTTTTACGCACTTATAAGTCACTTTTACGCATTCAAAAGTCACTTTTACGCACTGAGTGCCTAAAAGTAACTTTCACGCACTCAGTGCCTAAAAGAATGTCGTTTCAAAACTGAAATGACAATCGAAAAGTTGCTATTATGAAACGTCAGTAGAAAAACACATTTTGCCAATTTTCTCCACTAATATTAAATTTACAAAAAAAATACAGGGGACCTTTATTGTTTATTATTATTTAATACATTAGGAATGTGTTTTCAATTTTTTTATTTTTTTAACGCATCATCATTATACAGAATGTTATGATTTTTTTAATTATCAATTTTCTTATTTCAGCGTAAGACCTAAAAAACATGTTTCAATTTTTTCCCAAAACATTATTTTCAGTTTTTTGGCCACATTAATATACAGGGTGTTACAAAAAGTTATTTGTAATATGGATTACTTCGTTCAAAACCACGGCAGACGAACGTGAACATACCTCAAAACGGAACATAGCAAGCAATGCAACTTGCCATGAAACATAAGGAATGGTTTGGGCGCTTACGGCATGCATACTTATGATTTACAAGTTGCATAGTTGCAAAGTTTCCAACTGCCAAATCAATCAATAAATTAGCTATCTAGATTTTTTGTTTCATTTTCGAACTTCCTGCGGCGGCGCCAATCGGCGCCTGATGGACCGGCGCACCGGGAAATCTCCCGGTATCCCGGTGGGCCCATCCGCCCCGTTTTTGAGGTATTAGTACAGTAAATCCTTCGTTAAAATAGGGTCATCTGAGATTTTTTGGCAAAAGGTTTTTTTTTTTTAATGTTAAGGACCATGGGTGTATTAAAAATCTGAGTTTTCGGGAAAATCGCCCTTGTGCTAACTTCACCCCATCGATTGAAAGGGTCGAAAAACCACATTTGGCCAATTTTCTCCACTAATATTAAATTTACAAAAAAATACAAGAGACGTTTTTTGTTTATTATTATTTAATACATTAGGAATGTGTTTTCAGTTTTTTTTTAACGTAGCATCATTATACAGTGTGTTATGATTTTTTTAATTATCAATTTTCTTATTTCAGCGTAAGACCTAAAAAAACATGTTTCAATTTTTTCCCAAAACATTATTTTCAGTTTTTTGGCCACATTAATATACAGGGTGTTACAAAAAGTTATTCGTAATATAGATTACGTTCAAAACCACCTATAAACTTTTATTATGTAATTAGCAAAAATATGTACAGGGTGATCCAGTATAAAGTGAACACCCCCTACCTTTTCGCTAAAAAATTTTTTTTTTTTTAAAAATCAAGATAGCCATTTGGTGTATTTTGTTTCCACGAATTTGGTATTGTTTTTCGAAATTTAATTAGATTTTTCGTTAAAGCGCTGTGACGACAAAAGTAATTTTTTTAAATGGAATAACCTATATTTTAATCCATTTTTCAAACGCCCTTATTTTTCTCATTTCAAATATATATAGTTTGTTTATCTTTATTTTAGTAATTTGCGATATATTCTCACTCAAGATTCAAATAAAAATAGCCGAAAAGCTATCAAGGTAAATCTGAATAATGTTACCTTTAATAAAATTATTGATTATTATGTTTCATGATACCTTTTCGGCAATTTTTATGTGAATTTAAAAGTGAGAATATGTTGCAAATTACTAAAATAAAGACAAACAAACTATATATTTGGAATGGGAAAAATCGGGGTGTTTCAAAAATTGATTTAACTATAGGTTATTCCATTTAAAAAAATATACTTTTTTGATCAGAGGGCTTTAATGAAAAATCTAATTGAATTTCGAAAAACGTTTTCAAATTCCTAGAAACAAAATACACCAAATGGCTATCTTGATTTTTTGAAAAAAAATTTTTTTAGCGAAAAGGTAGGGGGTGTTCACTTTATACTGGATCACCCTGTACCATATTAAATAGCTTCCCAGTATGTTTTCGAGTAAAATACACTCATTCTGTTTTATTATTGCTACATTTTGGTCTTGCTAATATGCCTTGAACTACACTGTATTCAAAAAGCCAACGGATGAACATTCAAAATTATGTGCGTGGGTCCAAATTACAACTCTGTTTATATAAAACAGAATAATACTTCGAATTTTCGCAAAAAAAGAAATTCGAAATGCGAGAGCATTGACATCTCGCGTTGCTGTAATGAACTATAGGCCTGACTTTAAACCTTAAACTTAAGTGGATTAGACCTATACATGGGGAGACCACTTTAAAAAAAAAAACCCGCCTTGAACTCTACCTCATGGGTGGTGTGGAAAAGAGTTTTTCCTACGAGCGTGCGCAAAGTAGTACTTTTCCGCACGCATTTCCGGGCTCAAAGTTACACTTTTCCGCACTCAGTGCGGATACAGGCCTTATCCGCACTGAGTGCCGAAAAGTAATTATAATTGTCAAGCAACAATAAGTGCACCTGTCGATTTTGACACATGACACATGTTGACAAATTTTTCATCTGTTTCTATATCAGCCAACATCTATACAAACACCAAATATGAATTAACTTTGACACATTGTCAGATTTGTTCTCTATTTATATGCAAAAATCTACAAACTTTCTCATCAAATTTAAACGCTTTAAGATGAACAGCTCTGACGAGAATTTTCTGTTATTTTTTTTTGTTATGTAATTTTTTGATAAATGCATAGGTTCCTTTCAAGTTAATTAAAAATAATTAAACAAATTATCGTTTTTTTTTTTAAATTTTTGTTATTACCTACCTGATATGAAGCTCGTAGGAAAAATTTTGTTCCTAACACGTGCGCAAAGTGTCTTTTCCGCACGCAAACACGTATCCGAACTCCGCTTCGCGTCGTTCGTATAACTGTGCTTGCGTGCGGAAAAGTAACACTTTGCGCACTTGTTAGGAAAATAACTATATCAGACAATTAAAAGATGAGAAGGTGAAATTTGGTGAGACACCCAATATATGTATACAATTATAACGGTGGTTTTGAACGAAGTTATCCATATTACAAATAACTTTTTGTAACACCCTGTATATTAATGTGGCCAAAAAACTGAAAATAATGTTTTGGGAAAAAATTGAAACATGTTTTTTAGGTCTTACGCTGAAATAAGAAAATTGATAATTAAAAAAATCATAACATCCTGTATAATGATGATGCGTTAAAAAAAAAAACTGAAAACACATTCCTAATGTATTAAATAATAATAAACAAAAAGGTCTCTTGTATTTTTTTTTGTAAATTTAATATTAGTGGAGAAAATTGGCAAAATGTGGTTTTTCAACCCTTTCAATCGATGGGGTGAAGTTAGCACAAAGGCGATTTTCCCGAAAACTCAGATTTCTAATGCACCCATG